GCCCTTTTTTCGCCTTTTGCCTTTGCCAGTGTTGGTAAACGTTGAGCCTCATAGAACACTGGCAACAGCATTTAGAGATACCATGCTTGCATCACTCTCTGCAGCAGAGTTTTCCAAATAGTCGCTGACGTGTTGAAACACGAGTTTTGTTAGCTGTCTCTGCGGGCCATTTGCCGGCATTTTGGCCACAAAAGTAGGCAACAAAAGTTGGTGCTTCTATTTTTTACCACTTATGAAAGTTTTTAGTCAGTGACATATGTGAGCTCAAACAAGGGATTACCGTATTTGAAATTAAGTTAGGGTGATAATTTTAACTAGGAATTTAATGTGAATTTTGGGAAGTGTTTTCGGACGATGATTTGATTGAAAAATATTTGGTAGTGAAGGGGAAACTTATAATATAGTTTGTATAATAATAGTTTTTATTTTGTTTTCAAGGGGAGCTGACTCAGTGCTGAAATAGTAATGATAGACATCATGCTTAAGAATAGATATTCCATTACTTCTCATATTTTTTTTAATTATAAATAAATACTGATATTGAATCGAATCCAAATATTTTACAAAAGCAAAATCTTGTTTGATATGAAGACGGAAAACTGTGTCAACAAAAATCTAGTTTAAAGCATTATTTTAATATTTAGTTTAAGTCATGAATTCATATAGATAATAAATATATACTAACTTATAAATCCAAAATCACAAAGTTCCTCCGCTTCGACGAAAATATAAAAACAATTTAATGTTTTTTCTTACATTAACAATTGATCTTCTTCAATATATTTAAATTTTAAAAATTGTTTGCTGAATACTATTATTGTATTTATTTATTTTTATTAATATATATGAAATATATATTTATATATTTATGTATACGCAATTTAATTCGCAATAAATTAATTAATTAACCAAATAATGCATTTAATATAAACAAATTGTATAGCAACCAATTGTACAATAAAAAAATATTATAGAAAGTTTACCTTTATGGCAGCATAAAACAAAAATAAAATATAATGCATATAAGTGTAAAATATAAAAAAGAAAAATAATTGCTTAGGTCGAAAACTTTGTTTCTTTTAAGCCAAAATTCCTTTTTTAATCATTTTTAAATTAATTTTATTTTGGATGTGATATTCCTTTAATTTTTTTTTTGTATTAAAAAAGTATTAATGATGAAATATAATTTATTTTTATATAATTTATTTCTTATTGAAAATTCTTTAACGACTATTTACAATATTTACGATTTATGTATAACTTCTTTTTTTGCCAAATAATTTATAGATTTGATGAATTTTATTTGTTTATTTCAAGTTGAATGTCAAGTTGGGGCATTAATAGCTTTACAGGTGCACACGAGTGCAATAGAGATAGACAGCAGCAGTAGTGAGCGGGAGGGAGAGAGTGAGAGTTGCATGTGTGAAGTATTAGATAGATAGAGAGAGAGAGGAAGATGTTGCTAGGTTTTCGCACTGAGTGAATTGTGCGAATATTTTTTTTTGTGTGTGTGTTGAACTTGTTTGCTTGCCAAATGCCTTTTGTGGCTGTTTTTGTTATTGTTGTTGCTGTTGTTGGCTCCTCTTGTTGCCTTTTGCTATTGTCCGCTGGCGCTGCCTGTTTTTGTTGCGTTTTTATTTCTTTTATTATGTGCGAATGTTTGTTTGTAATGCTCGGCGCCATTGTTGCTGTTGTTGTTGTTGTTGTTGTTGCCGTTGGTTGTGTGTGCGTGTTTGTATTTGTATTTTTATTTCATTTTTGTGTTGTGCGAACAATTAAAACTCTTTGCAATGACCTTGACTTTGTTTTCTTTTAAAGTGTGTGTGTGTGTGTGAGCTTCCTTTTTCCCATTCACACGCGCCCAGCACGCTCAAACGTCAAACACAAAACACAAATAGCAACAACAACAACAACAAAAGCCGTCTGAGTGTCTACTTGGTCTGAGTCTGAGTCTGGAACTGAGTCTGGGCTCGGGCCTGGGCTTTTTTTTTTGGTTTTTTTTTTTTTTTTTTTGGTTTGTTTTTTGGCCTTATTATGCTCTGCTCTCTTTTCTTATTTTTTATTCGAAATATACCCCAAAAAAGCAGAATCGAATGCCCTGCACAAATATACAATAATAATACACAACAATCAGAGCAACAACAACAACAACAAGTGCTCTCTGATAATGAACAAGAAACGTTTATTTCTTTTATATTATAGAAGGCTTTCAGCATTTTTCCACTTTGTGGTTTAAGATTTGCGATATATTTTTGTTGTTTGTTGCTGTTGCTGTTGCTGTTGCTATAGGTCAGTTACTGGGGCAGGTTTTGTTCTTCTTCTGCTTGTCATACATATACTTACTTTTTTCTCATTGTTTTCGCGCATTTGTTTTATTTATTTTTGAGGCTTTATTCGTTGTCAAATCATTTGCAATTGGCCATAAATTTGTTTTGCTTTGTTTTCGGCATTTAAGGCATTTATTTTTATTTAACTCTTTTTCTTTATTTTCACGCATTTCTGGGTTAGTAGCTTGATGAGCAGCAGCTCGGCAGTGTGAGTTCCAGGGCAAGGGAGCTCTGGGCGGGGCTGGAGCTAAAAATGACTTGCACGAAATTTATATTGTAGTTGAGATGTAGAAGTGATTCGGCATATGAGGAGTGAGAGCAGATATCGATTAAATGTAAACGGGAATATTTCAGTCATAAGCAAAAAATTTATAAAAATTAAAATTAAATTATAAATTAAGAAAAGCTTACAATAATTAAAAATATAAAGACTAAGATAAACTTATTGCTTATTAACAATTTTTTTTTTAATTTTAATTTTTTTTTATATAAATAATATATATATATGAATAAATACAATACAAACTCATTTATAAATATCTAATTTTAAAAATTCAAAATAAAAATAACTTATTTAAATCATTAAAATAAAAATATTATAACAGTTATGAAAACCAAAAACACAAATAAAAGACTATCCAAAAATAAAAAAATAAAAATAATTTTAAATATTAATTTTCAATATAATATATATTTAAATATTATATACTTATATAAAACTAGTAAATATTTATTGCCTATGTGAATAATAGTAAATTAGAATAAAATAAAGAAATCACATTAATAATAAAATATTTATAAAAATACTAATGGATAAAAATAAAAATATATATATAAAAAGATATTAATAAAAAATACATAAATAATAAAAATAAATAAATAATATAAAAAGAGTTATATGCAAAATGTAGCTCCCACAAATTTGATTTTTTATTGATATTCAACTCATAAAATTTACTTAACTTTACATTGCATATTATATTGTTTATGTTTAATTAACACACAAATATTTGAATGACAAAGTATTGGAATATGTTTCAATTGTAGATGCTAAATATTATAAATATATATAAAAAAAAAAAAAAAAAAAAGTGGATTAAAATATGTTTCTCATATATCATCGGCGGAAAGAGTTACGATCCCAACTACCTGCTGGCATTCTAACGTTCTAGTCACACGCGCTTCAATTAACTTGGCTCAGACATGACGATCCATGCCAATTGCCAGCTACAGTTACGCAAACTAACTGCAATTACATATATTAGAATTAGGAAAAAGAAACCCGAACTGAATCAGCAGCGGCGCACCCGAAATAGTAATACGATCCAAAATTGTATTGCCATTAGTGCTGCGGCTCATTAGCAAGAAGCTGACGCAGAAAAAACCCCGAATTCCAAGTTACTTTACACTAATGAAAAACAGGTGAAAAATGAAGAAAAACGTACAAAAAATAATTACGCATATGTGCAGGTAGCAAAAGGCCCCCACCTGAAGTGGAGCATGCCCGAAAAACCACGTGGCGGCTGCTGCTGTTGCAGTTGCCGTTGTTGTTGTTGTTGTTGTTGTTGTTGCTGTTGCTGTTGCTGCTCGGGGAAGACAATGCGGTTGCCTATTCACATGTGCAACTATAATTACAACAACGTGGCAACATATGATTCGTGCCATCCAAAAGGATGCCAGACCGCATCAAAGTCACACACATAGACACACGCACACACATAGACACACAGTGCATCACAGTCAAGTACCGTTAGCTATAACTGTTTGCTGCAGTGCACTTGGCAGCACTTGCTTAATACATTTTTTGCCAGCTGCCGCCGACTGGGCTCAACTATTATTTCGCTACCTTGGCAAACCCATTAGGTTAATAAGTAGAAAACCGAGGTGGGGCGGCAGAAGACGAGAAGAGAAAAGCATGAAGAAGAAAAAAAAGAATTGAAACTATGCGCGTGAGACGCGCCAATGGTAAATACGCCGCAAACACTGCCCCGCCTCAGTCAGTCCGTTTCCAGGTGCTCCAGCTGCCCGGCTGTCCGTCTTTTATATTTTTGCTTATTTTTTGTTGTTGTTATTTTTTGCCTGGTCGGCCATATTTAAAGCGTCCGTTAGCGCAAAAAAAAATTCCGCCAGACTTTGAGTTGAAGCTGCGCCTGCTAGAGCGCTGCTGCTGCTGCTGCTCTGGCTGCTAGAAAACTGGCAACGTTGCATGCCATAAAAACGACTGGTCATGCGACGACATTTTTATGGCAACGCTAGCAACAGCGCCACAGATCGATATGTAGCGCAAGTGAATGCGCTGTATATTGCTAACTCACTCACGCGCAGCGTTCATTGGCGCTCGACGCTGCGCATAATCCAAGCGAGCAACGAAAGCAACACCAACACACACACACAGCAACAGCAACACAGGCCGCGCATAGCGTTTATTTGATTTATTAGCGTGCACAGCAGTCACTAGCGTTGTCTCTTTTTAACGCTCACGCCTGCCCGACTACACAGTGTAACTGGTTTGCAAATGCCGTCACACAGGCACATGCACAGACACACACACACTGTCGCACCACACTATACCAGTTTGACTAGCCACCCTGAACATACACACGTATGCATGCGCGTGTGCTTGTGTGAGTGTAGCTCTGCGGCAAACGGCCTCAGTCTCAGCTGCTGGCCAGTCAGTCTCTCATTCGTCTCTCGTATTCGCTGTCGTCAGCACACGCGCACGCAACGAGCAACGGATTCGAGAGTTTCGCGTACGAGTTTTCGCCCTCACCTCGTCCAGCGCACACACACACACGCACACATAACGAAAGACACATATATATTTATATATATACGCACGTCGTCGGTTATTCGCTTCGGTGACGGCGCTCGTTAACGCTTGGGAACAGGTTTCGCCGCTGTCCGTTCGCTCAACGGCGAAACAGAAAGGTGCTCAATTCCGCGTTGTGTGGAGGTATTTTTCGACGTCTCACGCAACGCGCTGATTTTTTGCCCAAATAGCAAAAAATTCCCAAAAAAAAGCAGAAAATTACAAAGAAAGCAAAAACAAAAAAAAAACTTAAACAAATTTGTCAAAGCACATTTCGCGACGCGTTTTAATAAACAAATTTCAAGTGTTTTTGCGTTCAAAATAAAACAAGAAAAAATAATATCTAAAACAAATAGCAAAAGCTGTTGCAAAAGGCGAAATGAAAATTTAAGATATATATACATCAATATACCTACATATATATATATATATATGTGTGTCAATTGCCAAAACTTGTGGCGATTCCGAACAAATTCAACTAGATAAATCAAAAAGAAATTCCAACAAGTGCAACATGGTTTCCCTATCAAATGTTCAAACAAATCATAGCCAATAAAATAAATAACTGATAAACGAAAAAAACAAAAACACAAAAACAACAAATATAAATCAAATTTTAAATTAAAGTCAACTCTAACTAATTGAGCTACGCATAGTAACTGGACTAAGGCAACTGTAAAAGTGTCAAACATAAAAAGTATCTGCAAGATACAAGCGTGCATTTAACGGATTTAACTCTAATTGAAGTGTTCTGGAGACTTTGAGGCATCTACAGGTGCTTACGAAGAGTCGAAAAGTATCTGCAACTGCAAGTAGCTATAAATTGTTCAATATTGAGCAAAAAGTGGCGACAACTCAACTCAAAAAGGCAAAAGATACAAAAGAATCTTTGAGTTGCAAAAGTATCTGCAGCTAAAGCAAATATAACCAAGAGATACATACAAGTATCTGCAAGTATTTAAAGTCAACCAGAAGAAAAGTATCTACAGCTAAACAAAGGCAGCTAAAGCAAATGTATCTATGACATGCAAAAGTATCTACAAGCTACAGAAAAGTATCTGCAACAAAGCAAATGTATCTATCGATTGATAAAGTAACTAAAACACACTAGATACAATTAAACGGAGATTATCTGCCAGCATTGCGTTAGCTTAATGCCTTGCCTCAATCGCTAGCGCTTGAAATCCAATTGCCAAGAGCAACAGCAACAACTACGGCAACAGCAGCAGTAACAAACAGCAGCAAATAGATACACAAGAGCAACCACAACGCTTGCAACGATGCTGACGATGGAAGCGGACATGAAGTGCGGCATCCTGCCCGGCCAAATGCCGCCGCTGCACGGCCATGCACATGCCGCAGCTGCGGCCACATCATATTCGGCATTGGCGCCGCTGATGAACCTGGGCCCCTCCCATCTCACCCACTCGCACCTCAGCCAGCACAATCATCATCATCACCATCATCATCATATGAGCGCCCACATCGCGGCCAGCCAGAGTCCGAATCCGCTCAGCTCGCTGCAGTCGAGCATTGCCAATACGCTGAACGGCGCCACGCAACAGCAGCAGCAGCAGCAGCAGCAGCAGCAGCAGCAGCAGAGCTCGCCCCTGCACAGCTCCAGTGAGCTGAGTCCGACGCAGAGCAGCATTGGCAGCCATCACATGACCTCACCCGTTAGCCATCATCAGCAGCAGCAACAGCAGCAGCAACAGCAACAACAGCAGCAGCAGCAACACTCGCAGCATCCGTCGCTGATGGGCGCTGGCAGTGCTCTGAGCAGCATGACCGCCGGCAGCAACAACAACAACAACAACAACAGCGCCACTGCGAACAAGAATCAGCAGCACGCGGATCGCGTGAAGCGGCCAATGAATGCGTTCATGGTCTGGTCACGCGGCCAGCGTCGCAAAATGGCTTCCGACAATCCAAAGATGCACAATTCAGAGATATCGAAGCGCCTGGGCGCACAGTGGAAGGATCTATCGGAGGCGGAGAAGCGGCCCTTCATCGATGAGGCGAAACGTTTGCGGGCCGTTCACATGAAGGAGCATCCGGATTACAAATATCGTCCGCGTCGCAAGACCAAAACCCTGACCAAAACCAAGGAGAAGTACCCGATGGGCGGCGCAGGTCTGATGCCCGGCCAGGGTCCGCCCGGCGGCCAGGTGGGCGATATGCCCGGCACACCGACACGCCTCGGCCAGCAGGTGGGCGGCGGCGTTGGCGGCGTCGGTGGCATGTCACAGAATCAGTCCAGCGGTGCATCGGCAGCGGCTGCTGCGGCGGCTGCTGCTGCCGCGGCCGCCCAACAGGTGCGCCCCAACATCCATCAGATGGGCGTGCCCAATGGCTACATGCCCAACGGCTACATGCATCCGGATCCTGCTGGCTATCAGACGCACTACATGAACTACGCGCCGCGCTACGAGATGACGCACATGTACAATGGCTACGGCATGTACGATACGGTTGCCGGCGGCCAGACATCGCCCTACGGCAGCAGCACCCTGCAACAGCAGCAGCAGCAGCAGCCCGGATCCCCGTCGCCGTACGGCAGCGCCGGACTGCAGCAGCCGAGCAATGGCTCGCCGGCGCCGTATGGTGCACAGATATCCTGCCAGAGCCACAGTCCCAGCGATTCCAGCATCAAGTCAGAGCCCGTTTCGCCCAGTCCCAGTGCGATTGCACTGAATAACAACAACAACAACAATAACAATAATAATAACAACAACAATCACATCATGAAGCGGGAATATGTGACATCGGCGACGGCAGCGGCAGCCGCAGCGGCGGCAGCAGCTGGCGCCGGCACCGATCTCAACAATCTGATGAACATGTATCATCTGCACGACGCGCCCGAGCAGCAGCGCCACCTGATGCACTACCAGACGGCGTCGCCGGAGCTGCAGCAGCAGTCGATGCAGCACGTGATGCACCAGCACCAGCAACAGCAGCAACAGCAGCAGCAGCAGCAACAGCAATTGGCCCAGCAGCAACATCCGCAGCAACAACATGCGCAACAGCAGCACCTGCAGCAGCAGCAGCAACACCAGCAACATCAGCTGCATCAGCAATCGCTGCGCGCAATGGCGCCGCTGGCACATATGTGAGAAATGGCCAGCGCCTATGGAGCAGCCGCCGTTGGGTCTGTGACGCCGCCGCCGCCAACCGTTGCTGGCGCTTATATGCCAGCAGGGGCCGTGCAAGCAGCAGCGGCAGCAGCCGCCGCCCAGCAACAGCAGCAGCAGCAGCAACAGTTGCTGAATGGCCGGCCAAGTCCGACGGCGTCGGGTTCGGGATCGTCGGGCGGCCGCTCCTCGGCGCATTCGAGTGGTCATATTGCCACAGCGCATTCACCCGCCTTGGCGGCGGCTGCTGTTGCCGCTGCCGCCTATCAGTTGTCCGCAACAACAGCAGCAGCAGCAGCCACCACCTCCTCCTCCGCTGCCGCCGCCTCCTCCGCAGTCGCTGCAACTAGCTGCCAAGCGGCCAGTGCATTTGCGGCCTCGGCCAGCATGCTGGACATGCAACAACAATTGGAGGAGCAACAGCAGCAACAGCAGCAGCAGCATCACCAGCACTACCTGCAGCATCAGCAACATCTGCAGCAACAGCAGCAGCAGCAGCAGCAGCATTTGCAGCATCATCAGCAGCAGCAGCATCCGCATCAGCAGCATCCACATCAGCATCAGCTGTATCATTATCATGCCACGCATCCGCAGCAGCTGCATGAGGCGAGCGCTGGCTTGTTGGATATATCCACATTGTAAATTATTGAAAATATATATATATGAATATATATGCATAAATATATGTATAAATAGAACCTACACACACACACACAGACACATTTAGCGCTAATTGCAAGCATAAAACATAAACAATTTTTTAGCTTTAGTTTAACAAGAAAAACAAAAATTGAATTTCAATTGATAAATAAATACGATGATTATAATATTAAACGAAATGCATTTTACAATTAAGCATACGCACTGTTGTACCATACAAAGCGAACATCTTTCCACAATCCACACATTCCACAACTTGCATTCCACAAACAACATTTTTGCTAATGAGAAAACAACAACAACAAAACCTAAACGACAATTGTGTGATACAAAAAAATTGTTGCAAAAAAAAAAAAAAAAAAAATTTAAATTAAAAATTAATATTAAAAAAATTGTTTCATGTTATTTTGATTTTTGTTTTTTCCGCGCTGTACAAAACAAATTCGAATTTCCAAAAAAAAAAAAAAAAAAAAAAAAAGTCAAAAATAAGGAAGAAGCAGAGGAAGGAAAAACCCACATTCTATTTTATAGATTCTCTTATACATTAAGTAATTCTAATTATTATCTATTATATAAACAATTTAATTATAATTATTAATTATGCTTACAAAATACTGCAAAGATTAAAAACAAAAGCATGAAAATAAAATAAAACACAATTAATTGTAATAAAAAACATGAAAACAAAAACCATTATTATTATTATTATTATTACCATTATTATTATTATTATTATTAAAAGGCAAGCACCTACCACATAATATTACAAAAGGAAGAAAACAAAAATAATTATAATACAAACAAAATGTTAGTAAACCTAAAGAAAATTTAGTAAAAACAACTGAGAAAATCAGGCGCAAGGCAACCAAAAAAAAAAAAAAAAAAAAAACAATACAGAAATCTGCTGCCAAAACGTCTGGTAAAAACACAAAACCAGAAAAATTCACAAAAAAAAAAAAAAACACAAATAAAAAATTCTTTACAAAAAAATATATGAAATCAAATTTATTTATTTACATTTTTAGGGATATGAAACATTTACACTTAGGTTTTTTCTTTTTGTAGGATAAATATTTCGGTAATCATACTCATTCATGAATGTGAACGAAGTATATTGGTTTCATGCAATGTCCGTCCGACTTTTCAAATTATTAATCAGTTTTTGAAGCTGAGGACTTTGGAATATGCAAATCGAAAAATTCTTCTTCCGGTATCTCAACAATAATCGTGTTCTGATAGAAACTTGGAATTTTGAATATTTGCTCAGGTTGATAGTCCAAAATCTATCAGATATGGCGAAATATCTTTCCCATTGGGGTAGAGCCAAATCGGGTAAAACTGTATCGTGTACAGTTTTAGAGCTAGAAACTCCAAATGTGATACTTGTATATTTTTTTTATTGATTTAAACAAAAATAATATATGTATATATACCAATTGGGGGCGTGGCAAATTGTGTACTGCAACGTTTCTACTTGTTTGCTTTTCTCTACTTGATTTGCCGTCGGCTCAGCTAAATCCAAAGAAATATTTATTATCTTTATTTCAACGTCACGTGTCAACTTGCTTGACATATTTATTTTTAACAGTTTGTTTTTGTTCTTTTTTAAATGTATTCACATTTTCAATATCAAGTTCTACATTGTGTTAAATTAATAAAACGTTGAAATGCTATTTTGATATTTGAGATTTACGATGATATTTTATGGCGTTCACTTAGTTCCGTAAGCATACGAATTTCAGGATGAGCGCAACGAAACCTGTTGATATGCATCTGATTAGCTTATTCTTCATCTTTAGTTTCATGTTGATTTGTGCCAGAATATTCAGTGACTCTATACAATTCTTACTCCACTCTATGTCTACTTTAGTTGCGCTATTAAAAATACAAAATTCGCATCATTAACAAATTAAATGATTTAACAAAAAACGTCGACCATTGAATGAGATCAACAAACATAAACGAGCCACGACTATGTTTTTTTATTATTTATTTATTTTTATTACTTAGAATATCAATTTAATGATGTATTAAATTACTTTTTTAAGGGTCAATAGTCGGAGACTTAAGAGTGCTAAACTGGCAATCATATGCAAAGAGTTGAGCTGGAGGTAGAGCTCTACAAGAAATAATATTCGAGAATGTGGACAACACTTGAGCTTTAGACTTTATTTTTCGATATTCGATATTCTCTATCATCGATAAAAATCGATTTTCTTCGTGGCTTGTATAGCGTTAGAGCTTATTATTAGAGATTTGTGCTTAGGCAAATATACAATATATGTAAATGTGAATGTGGTTATCCCAGGCTGAAACTTTGAACCCGAAATAAATTACTATAGACGACCACATCGGCGCTGATTAACCGCAGTCGCTGCGTCAACTGCTCTGTTATCAGAGCGCGTAATTATGAATGTTTGTGCTTCTATGTTGTTCGTTATCTGTTCATAAAGGAAGAGTTTGATTGGAGTTAGTCTTGGTACCTGGCTGCAGAGACCCAACACTGCTGCTCATAACTGGGACATACCTATTGGAATATTCGGTATACTCTGGGCAGGCTGATATCATTATCAAGATATCCGATATTTCTTCATGAATGTTTTTTGCAAGCTTTCTTCTTTTTATCAAATTAAACCAATGATATCAGTTTTCACATTCATTAATTCAAAATCCAAACTCATGTTTTGCTACAGTAATGTTAAATGCTGGTCAGATTTTTTCTGGAATATTCACAGAAATATTTACATTTATTAAACTGTAGCTGAAGATTTTGAAGCTATGATAAACTGAAACATGTTTTGCATATACTACAAATTTGTATCTAAAAATTGAATATTCATAAAAATTGCTTTACAAATGTATTCGTGTTTTATTATTTAATTTAATTAAATATTTACTATAACGTGCGTCATCTGGATGGGGCACTCTTGAATATTTTCGATATTATAACGGCTATAGTAATAAAACTTGTTTCTGAGAGACTCGAGACTCGACTGAGAGATTTCAGAAAATAATTTTAAAAATGTTTTGAAAAAATACCTTATCAGAAATGGTCATCAACTATGTCTAAAAATATGTCATCAGGTTAGCACACTCAAATTTAGATTGGAATATATTATATAGGATTATATATATACAGAACGAGTCTAATTTTTCTTTGCTCTGGATCGCCCAGCCGCAAAATATTAGTTAGTATCAACGGCTAATTTTGAAATCATACTTTTTGCACTATTATTTACTTTTTTTTTTTTTTTTTTTTTTGTTATATTTATATTTAAACCCACAATTTACGTGACCGGAAGGCGGAGTTTTGTAGTTGTCGCCGTTGATTTAATGCTAATTATATTAATTTGCGATCTACTCGAGTGCATTTTGTATAAACAAATATGCTACACATATATATATTTGTTAATATATATATGAATAATTTGATTATTTATGTGGCTCAAATATAATTTAAGTAATATTGACGCATCGAAATTTATGAAATTGTGCACAAACTTTCAAAAATATTTGACGAGTTCCACTTTTGCCTTTCCATTTTGATGGCAATCCACTGCATTTAGTTAGTTTGTTCCACTTTAATTTTCTTTATTTATTTATTTATTTTTTTTTTTTTTTTTGTATATACCATATATATTTAGTTTACAAATGACCTCGTACTCCTATTAACAATCCATAACATTCAAAGATATTACTAATTTATGCCGCAGACATCGACGGAACAGCTCGAAAATTGCCCACATTTTGGCCATTTGTAAATAAAACGAAGGGAGAATACTAGTGAAGCGACTTTGAAATACTCTTTATACTCATTACCGTAACCGAAATGAGTATATTGGTTTTTTGCAATGCCCGTCTTACTATCTGTACAATACAAACCTTATAAGCTCACTATTTTCCGAGAATTTTGGCTATTGGAAAAAATCAGCATTGAGAAAATTTTCGAAAAGCCAGAATTTATTGTATCTATTTGAAATAAATTTTATAATTAATGAAATTAAATTAAATTAAAATTCCACAATATTTTTGTTTTTTATTTTTATTTAATAGAAGCAATTTTTTATAAAAATCTCTCGAATGTCACGTTCACAACTTTTATTATAAATAATTTCCATTATGCAGCTCTACCCTTTCCATGCTTTTCATATAGATCCAACAAAATAACATAAAAAATTATAACACTCATTTATTATTTACGAAAATTGCCAATTCGGAAAGCAACAAAACTCGACTATGGACACCATGAGTTGAACTTATGTCAAGACAATAAAAAATATAACAATAAAAAGATGACCAAAAAAAAAAAAGAAAATAATAATAATAATAAACGTAGACAAACAAAATAAATTATTTAAATTGTGTGTAAATATTAAATAAACACTGTCGTTTTTGCTGTTTATTGCAATTTCCATAAATGGCAAAAGAAATAATAAAAAAAAGTAAATTAAAACTGAAAAAAAAAATAATAATAAAATGTTGCACGGAATTTCAATTAAACTATGCGAGGTCTGTTCAAAAAGTATTGTTTATTTGGTTTCAACAGATTTTTCTATATATATATATTTTTTTTGTTTCTTTTTTATCATAATTTTTTTCAGATATCTAAATTTAAAAATCTATCAATTAATTTTTTAAATTTTAGTTTTAAATATACGTCATCCACATAGAATATAATTCGCCATACTTATTAAACGTACCTCGCATATTATTATATTTTTTTAGTCCCATTCTCTTTTAAATCAATTGACTTTTGATTACAAATTATTTTTTATGCAAACCTATGTTTAATTAAAAATTCAATTTAATATTTTTTTTATTTCTGGTTTTTTTTTTTTTTTTTGTGGAATTTGTGATCCACAAACGAAACGGAATTTACATTTTTCGCAACTAAGTTTTTGTTTTGGGATTGCTTGATGCATGTTGAAAGCTGCGATTGCTGAGCTACATGCATAATTAAATTGCATAAAATCAAATTTATTTCACTTTTACGGACGTCATTTGTACGCCCGACAAAGTACAACAGATATCGAATATCTATGGCCATAGCCACA